ATTCATCCTGTTAATGCCAGGGTGTCCACGATGAAACTGTCGTAGAATTCTTTGGCGAAGCTCACTAGGGATAACAACTCTTCCCGCCAAAAGTAAACAACTATTGATGATGGATAATTCGTCTCTTCTCCGGGGCAGGCCCTGCAATTCCCCATTTAGATTGTCTTTCGGCCACTGTGTAGTATGAAATCTGAGCGCTTGTTGTAGGACAGAATCCCGCATTGATGCATCACATATCATTTCAACCGTGACCGGAAGTTCTCTGAGCGTTTCCAACAACACCTGATTCACTTCCGACTCCAGAGAGATCGCTGCAATGATAGATTCTTCTTGCTGGCGCTGCTGGCTTTCCAATAACTGGGAAAGTGCATCAGCTTGACCAATGTCTTTTGTAGCAATGTGCTTTACCGTAAAGTCTTAACTGAGTAATGTGGTAGCCCACCGTTGTAACTTGTTTACCGTATAGGCAGGGATGCCCGACTTTGATCCGAAAACTTCCAAAAGCGGCTTATGGTCAGTAAGAAGTGTAAACTTCCTTCCACACAGCATTTTGTGAAATTTATTCACAGCGTAGACTATCGCCAAGGCTTCTTTTTCTCTCTGGCCATAATTTCGCTCTGCGGCAGACAGCCGATGGAGCTGCATGTGCGATTGCCTTTTCTGAACCATCTGCGAACTTGTGGGCTATGATTGCGCCAATGCCATAGTTCGAGGCGTCTGCGGCCACCACAATCTCCAAAGTTGGATCGTAATGTGTTAGCAGGTCGGAACATAGTAGCCTTTTTACCTCGTCAAATGAGCTCTGGCATTGTTCGGACCAGTTCCAGTGTTTATCCTTGGTCATCAGGTCATTGAGTGGATCACGCAAGCGATGCATGTACGGTAGGAACGGGCTGTAATGGCTTATGAGTCCTAGGAAGGACCTTAGCGTTGCAACACCTTTGGGCAGCGGCATCTTTTTGATTGCCTTGATGTTCGCTGAGTCTGGACGCCTGTCATTCCTGTCTATTATAAAGCCGAGAAACGTAATCGAGTCTATGAAGAAAGTACACTTCTCAGGTCGGAGTCTGCATCCATATTCCTCAACACGGCCAAGAACTCGATCTAACTTTTCAAATAGGTCATCAGCACTGCCTCTTACAACAATGATGTCGTCCAGGTATGCGGCTGCTCCATCGACATCTATCAGCATTGTGTCCGTGATCTGCTGGAATATGGTTGGTGCAGACTTGATTCCAAACGGGAGACGGTGATACGGATACAAGCTTCGATGTGGATTGATAGAAATTCTCATGAAGCTTCATGTACTTCGATCTGCAGGTATGCATCAGAGATCCAGCTTTGAGAAACATTTACCACCATTCAATTTTGCGAATAAATCATCTAGGAGCGGTTAAAGGGACTGATGGGCGTTTAATGCAGCATTTATGCCCTTCGAGAAATTGGCGCATATTCAAATCTGACCGTTTGGCTTTTTGACCACCACAATGGGTGCCGCCCAAGACGAGTAGTTCACCGGGTGGATAACCCCTGCTCTCTCTAAGCGATCCAGTTCCTGGTCAATCATTGATGTTGCTGCGTAAGGTACAGGGCGTCTCGTACGAAACACCGGAACAGCATCGGGCTTAAGGGATAGTGAAGCTTGTACTTTAGTGCACTTACCGAGGCTTTCCCGAAAAACTGCTGCATATTTCTCCCGTAAGCGCTCGATAGCTACAGTTTTAGGAGCTGTTGTCTCGTGTATCTAAACACTTGCACAAATCTGGGCTTGGGGATGAAAACCCTTACTTCGAAGTTGGCCTCTGTTGGAGCGTCTTGGGTCCCTGGTTGGCGTCCGGAAGACTATGAACACGTTTGGCTGGATATACTTGCTGACGTGGCTATGAGCCCACCTCATTGGCGTTCGTGTTGTGAGTTTCTTTGTCTCTCCCCATAACTATTAGCCCCCCTCCAATCGTGATCTCATTTCATAGCATAATACAATTTTCACCTTATAAAATGTGTTGCATACTAGTCGGCTGGTAGCTCAAGTGGCATGCACCTGTATTAGGTCTTTTTTCTCTTGTCTTACGTATTGCGGCACAATAGGTGAGGTGTTTTCTACCTCATGATGATGATGATAACAGCGGGAGTGTTTTCCACTCCTGGCATATTTGTAGAATGATGAATAATGAAACAGGTAGCTCTCTCGCACATTTCCACCTGTTTACCTTTTCATTCAGAGCTTAGTCTGCTTCTGTACGTTTTAGATGAATTTGTGAGTTAGCTTTTCCGCTATTTCGTGATGTTTCTCTGTTGTCGCATGATTCTTATTAGGTGGTTCTTTTGACTGCAGGTTTTATCGCACTTCGGTGCCCCAGGTCGTGGGTGACTGACTGAACTAAATAGTGAAGCCCGTCTTCTGCGAGCTTGGGGTATATCTGTGCGAATGACTTCGGTTCGTGGCTTACTCTGGGGCCACTTGACTGGCGCAGGGTTTTTCCACTGTTAACCAGCCGATGCAATACCCGTTCAGCATTGGCTGTGCGACTGCTTTTTCCCGATTTTACAATAGTGTGATTTTGTTCAACTTGCCTTTCTCAATCCGTTATAGTTACTCCGATGGCTACTTTACGAACCAGTGTTGAACGTGTTGCAAGTGTTTATCGCAGGCGGCTACTACAAATGAATGAATTGCAACAGAAGATAAAATCGCTCAAGATGGCTACTTCGTACTACCCCCAGCTTGGTCTTCTGTATCATGATTTAGTCCCCCACTCTCCTGTCATTGCCGAGGCCATTCGCCGCTTACCGCGGGAAGAGACCGAGGCGCGTGATTTTCGGCTCGCTCGTGCTTTCCAGCTGTCAGCATGCCAGACTGTTTTGCCGAAGGAGCAATGGACCACGGCTGAAAATGATATACCCTACTTGGATCCATACATCGATCTGACGCGTAAAGAATGGCAAGAACGGAAAGAATGGGACCACTTCATTAACGCTCAAACGTATCCTTAGTGGCATCATAGCGGTTTCTTGTCAACGTGTGTAGATAGCAAATATACTCTTAATCACAGACTTGTTCCATCCTGCGCACTGCAGATGTCTCGATTTCTGTGCTAATTAATCCATCGATCTTCATTTTTGCAGGTGAAATGACTATCAAAAAGATACACGCTCGCCAGATTTATGACAGTCGTGGTAACCCAACAGTTGAGGTAGATGTAACAACTGATAAGGGTGAGTTGAGCTGTACTATGTCGTGGCTAACTTTGGTAGGGTTGCTTCCCTTTTGCTATTTCACTTTCATAACGCACCGTATTGCCCTCACGCTTTATCTGCTTGCTCGTGGCCTCAATTAATACCTCGTCTGCGCCTCATGTCAGCTAGTTGTTGCGGTCTATCAGATTCCTGAACGGTGCAGGCTGTTATGGCTGAACCACATTTTGCCTGGCTTCACACCAGCAGTTTCTTAGCAAGGAATGAAATGGGTTTGCACTAGCACTTATTGCTTGCACACGGCAGTTGCATTAGCATGACTACAATGTGGTCTGAACATCATCCAGTCGCCTTCTCACTCTTTACGAACGAGCTCTTGGTATAAAGCCAGATAAGGTGAGATCGAGCCATCACAGCCTACACGGTTCTGCCGTCTGACTTTCCAATAGTTATTCAGTCGCACTGGCTCATACACGAACACACACATGGAATACGCGAAATCCGATGGGAAGGGTGGGGGAAACTTACTCACTACTTTTGATCTAGCCTCCTCTTTCAAGGGAAGTGCTTGCTCTAGCACCCCCTGCTTGCACAATTCGATTGCATTAGCCTGACCGCATTGTGATCCAGTCGCCTTACTCCTCATTCCTATCAAACCAGTTGTTACTTTTCTGGTTAGAACACAATCTGTTCATTTTGATTTGAAAAATGTCCAATTTAAAGTGAAAATCGGTAGTTCCTAGATAGAGCTTTGAAGTGCGCTTCATGACGTCAGCCATATCACTGCTTTACTAATTTCAGTGTGCGCGATACCCTTTGGCTCATTTTTATGGCCTGTTACGGCAACTTCGTTATATTTGTTAATGTTTTACTCAACATCCGGCTCGTTTTAGGTTTGTTCCGATCCGCAGTTCCTAGCGGAGCATCCACTGGTGTACATGAAGCTCTTGAGCTGCGCGATGGCCCCCCAGGCCACATGGGGAAAGGCGTGATGAAAGCAGTAGATAACGTGAATAAGACGATTGCTCCCGCCTTATTGAAGTCGAACATTGCCGTAACTGATCAAACTGCAATTGACAAGTTGATGCTTTCTCTGGACGGTACTGCAAACAAAGGTCAGTTACTTTATTTGGTTTTTACTCATATTACACATGTTTAACCTTTTGAATTGTACGCTACTGTCACTTGACATTTATATGTTCTACATCTAGGCTTACACTGCTGGTTATAGGAACAATACACAGTGAATCGCTAGCCTTCTGTTACTATATCCCTTGTCACGCAACGAACCCCCATCCTCTCTTGCCACTGTTTTTTTAAAATATATGAATTGCGCTTTCAATGGCTCCACGCCCTTTGTCTTTCACCGTACCGCACTGATTGCCTATGGTAACACTCCTTTTACTATTTTTCATAAACGTGAAATCGTAACAGAAAGCTTTATTTACTATTTTAAAAATTCCCATCTCACAGGTTTTTTACAGCAAATCTCCTGGTTACTGACCAACGTTTAATTGTTTTGACATTTACTGGTGTGTGATACACAACTAGATTGAGGCAGTTTTCATCCTAGCATTCAATTCATCTTTCTCTATTGCTCATCGTCAACTGCATTGTTATTAGTGAACTTATTCTATTTTCCCGTGATTTGGCACACATCTTTTTATGCTTCAGACAAACTTGGTGCTAACGCTATTTTGGGCGTTTCCCTGGCTGTCTGCAGAGCTGGTGCCGCCGAAAAGGTCAGTCCTTTAGTTATGAGCGGTACTCTCCCTTGTGTGGTGATTGCTATGAACGAGTGCGGAAGCCAAACTAACTCTTTTTCGTCGATGTATTTTTTATTCCTATTTTGACTCAACCGTTGGACTAATTTCACGTATTCTGTGACGAAAAATAACTGACATACTGTTCGTTCGATGTGTACTACAGACATGCCAATGGTCACATCCGTTCGATTGTTCGATGTGTTGACAACCACTCATGCATTGGCACGACGCTTTTAGCACTGGCACTTGTGTTAACATCCGACTACCTAAGACGGTGATAACCTCCGCTTTTTGTTCCGTCAAAGCCGCTCGTTATCTCGTACACATCAGTTGGTGGACAAGCATCTTATATAATATTAGTCCTCGAGCATATTCAACTAGGCAAGATGGATTACGTTTTGCTTTTCTCCTGTTTCATGATTGTGCTTCCTCGGGATGTGTGTTTTGATGCCGCCTATATAATTCCGATCACATGATTAAATTTTGCAGGGCGTGCCGCTGTATAAGTACATAGCCAGTCTCGCGGGAAACGATCAAGTGATACTGCCAGTTCCATCTTTCAACGTGATTAATGGTGGCAGCCATGCGGGAAACAAATTGGCTATGCAAGAATTCATGATAATGCCCACTGGCGCTACTTCATTTAAAGAAGCCATGAAAATGGGAAGTGAAGTGTACCACAACTTGAGAGCCGTAATCAAAGAAAAGTATGGGTTGGACGCATGTAATGTCGGTGATGAAGGTGGATTCGCTCCCAATATTCAAGACAACATGGAAGGTCAGTCCATCTCTACATTGCTTTTTTCGCCTACCGCTTTATTTTGAACGCGGAGTCCACTTTCTGTCAGTTTGGTGGAAATTGTTGATCTCAATGCCCATACCATCATGCGGGTCACACACCCACGTCCTAAGCAACCACTTTTTATGTGGGTCAGCCATTACTCATAGCACTACAAAAACTGACACTGAGTTAGTATGGCCACCATTGCCCACTAGTTTCGATTCCTTGTATCCACCGTGTTCCGTATTGTGTAAGCATATCACCGCCATCTGAGATCTAGATTTTCCCTGAGCTTCATCTTTTACAGTGTCACATTCTCCTGGTTTGGACAACCTACGCCTAGCCCTTCTCTAAGATGAAGATCCGCATCTGTATTCCGTACTTTCCGTGTGATTTGCAAACTAGTCATCCTGTTTAACTGGAGGTTAGCAGACATCTTGCCCATTTTCCCGAAAGTTCCCCGAACAGCTTGTACCAATTATAAAGAAATCGGTTACTTGTGTTTTACTTCCTTCTTTTACGGAGGTTCAGTCGAGTACGCGAACGGAAGATACAGGAGAAGCAGACTGGGTTTCACCCAGATCGCAAGTGTATTGATAACCTCTCCTATCCGCCAGATGCTTGAGCACCGTCGGGCTTTCGCTTGACCCATCGATGTTTACTGGATGTACGTGCTGCATTTTTCTCATTTGACAGAGCCTCTCTTAAGTTGCTTACTGGGAACTACGCCAACCTAATCCAAGCAATGTGTTTTTCCATCTCCCGCAGCATGTGTGTATATTGTGATTATACCCGATTCTGCGGTATCACCAGTATGTAGAGACAGGATTGCTCTGCATCCCTCCTTCTGTACATCGCTATTTATGACATCTTGGAAAGAGTTCTGAAAAACGGACCTTGGCACTTTGTATAGGTCTCTTCTGACTTTCGACTTCTAGAATTGAAAGGTCAGCTACCAAGGTTAGTGGTTTCCCATAGCTTTTGCCGGTGTCAGGTGGTTTTTAGCCACGTGCAGAAAATAAATCATTCCAGAACGTTCGGAATCGATGTGCTAATCGTTAATCATCGATTAATCGCTAAAATAGTGGATTTTTCAGGCAATTCTTACTTTCTCCCGGACACCCCTCCTGAGGTATACCATGAAAGCCTGGGATTAACCTGCAGTTTTCGGGACAGTATTTTCTGCCTGTCGGTCCATTTCCTTCGCAGAAGTGCCCGAGAACTGGGTTCCGATGTCCGTGTACTGGATTTTTTGCTCGACTGTGTGCAGGCATCCACTGCTTCCTTCAGCAAGTTGAACCTTTCCACCAACAAGGCGAACAGGAAGTCGACAAGCCTTGATTGTTTTGCTTGACACAATGTTGGCCGTAACTGGTTTGCATGCCGTGCCCAGATCTGTGCGCCCACGGTCACGTCATACATGACATTTCCGCACTTGCTTTTGACCGTCCCTGGCATCCATTTCGCGTGGCCATCCCGATAGTCACTGCCCAAGTGTAAACGATCACTTCTTTGCTCCACGCCGCCGGTTAAAATCCTGTCCCATTCTGCGGTTTCTTTCACCAGTGGAGTATTCCGAGCGCAGTCGGATAGCCTCGAAGGGTGTGCGATGCTTCCGGTCCATCATAGCCTGTGCTGGAGACACTCCGTCTGGCGCTTGTGGATTCGGTGTTGATCGGTAGAGAAAAAGGAACCGGTCTATACGTCTCTCCCCTTTTGATTTGTGGAGAGCCCGCTTGAAGGTATCGACAAACCTTTCTGCCTGGCCATTCGACTGTGTTTGAAACGGCGGCGAGCGAACGTGCTATACGGCGCATTGCTTGCAAAACTCAGAGATTCGGCAATAGCAATGCATACGCTGGACACGGGGCACAAAATTGACTTCGAAAATGTGGAGGTTATCAGGAAGGGATTACGATCAACCAAACAAAGGCTCATTGCTGAGGCTATAGAAATAAGCAAGGCTAACAATTACGTGAATCGAATAGATGGAGAAGGGATGTCTAGTGCCTGGCGTCCAGTCTTACTCCGACCAGCTTGATAAGTATCGGTGGATGGATCCCAAATCGGAATGAACTACCGACCAACTCTCCACCGAATTCCAAATTCCTTACAACGGTTCAGTTAAGATTGCTAGCCACACATGTAACCGGACCGGCAATTTCCTTTCCCCACTTGACTTTGACTGAAAAAGCTACGATGTACCCACGAACACAGTGACCTTTGACCGCTGTATTCATTCATTGATGAACTGCAAATTGATTCGTCCCTGCATGTAGCTTTGTCATGATCGCCATAAAAAGATTCTGCTAGCGTACTCAATCGCCCTGACTCTGACCTCGCTGGCTTTAGTGGCCACCGTGAACATCTCCCCAGTAATGGGCAACTTCAAGGTCAGCTCCTTTCTTCCTATTTCTTGCTGAAGGCGATCAAAGCTTGTTGGGCTTCCGCAGTCCCGGTGATTCTTCATTTCTTGTTTCGGCAGCTCGTACAAGGTTGATGCCAAATTATTAAATTCCTTGACGAATTTGCTGTATCACCCAGCACTGCCCAGGAACACTTTGAAGTAGGGAGTAGGGTGTTTTGTCAGTATTCGGCAGTGGCATCAGTTCACTTTGTCCCACTATGGCACAGTAAATCGACGTACGTCTTTCCAATCTGGGATTTCTTCACTTTTATCCAGAGTCCCGACTGCTGAATCCGTTTCAAGACTGCTTCGACATGATCACTGTGCTCTGCCCCTGATTGACTATGCACAACGACGTTATCCACCTATACTTCCACGTTCTCCAAACCACTCAGTAAGCACAGCATTTAACGTCGGAAAGTAAACGAACCTCCCGATAACCCAAAAGGTATCTTTAAATTGGTATTGTTTTTCCCCGACCATAAACGCTGTTTTCTCTCGATCTCGTTTGATTGCCCGTTGCCAATATGCAGAGCTCAGATTCAGGACCGTTAATATCCTTTACTGCTGCCATTTAACAAAAATGTCAGCAACGGGCGGCACTGGAAAGAAACGATTCACGGAGATTTCATTCAGCTTTCTGAAGTCCATACAGGAACGGCACTTCCCATTCGCCTTCTTCGCCAAAACAACTAAACAATTGTATAGGCTGTGCGCCTCTTCAATCACATCCACTTTTAGCATCTCCTCTACTTGCCTTTTAATCTCAACGTCCAAATTTCTTGGTATTCTTCGTGATCTCCGTGGCTGATGCGCCTGGCGAGTTAACGGGTTGGTGTGCTCGATCCAGTCACAAAATCCAAACAGGCTGCTGTCATCCGCAAACAAGGGTAGTACTTGCTGATGAGTGACTGCAAGGCCATGGTCAGGTGTAACGCGACAACAACCGAGTGCATCGGTATAGTTCCTCCACGGCCAGTGAGTGGCAACGACCAGTATTCAGTTAACAGCTTCTCACCAGCCAGCCTTGTTGAACTCTTGGAAATCTGCTTCCAGTATTGTCTGCTTCGCATCTGGTGACACCATGAAGACGTGTTCGTTTCCGTCCCCCGATTCCCACAATGTGCTCTGCTATACGGTCAGTGTATTCTGAGTAACCGCCAACAGCTCTCACGACTGTGAAGCTTGATTGATGCTTTTCGCCCTGCTGGGAGCCGCCTCTGCTCTATGCCTGACCGTTTTGAACCGCGGCGTTGCCTTCTGGCGGTCGGCCGCGGTGTCCAATCCGAAAACCGACGTTTCCTTTCCGGCGACCCACTCCATCTTAACGCGTCCCCTTCGTCCTGCCCTTGAGGAGACTCCGCATGGCTACCAGCTTCGCCCGGTCGGTTTTTACTTCAATCACTTTCGCCACATCCTCCAAGAAGGTTCTCACATCTCTATCTAGTGTGTTCCGGCCAGGGGTTCTTCTCGAACTACCTCACTTGGTCACAGCACTAGAGTAAGGACCCAACGTTGGAGCTAGATTATTTCCTGTGGCAAACAGCATGAGCCAGCTGCATCAGTTCTGACCAACGAAATGTACACTCATCTACGCACTTTCTGTTGGAGAGTGTGTTGCGCACCGCTTCTGTTTTTATTCCTCGCACGCAAACATCTGCGATTCCAAAGAGTTCCTATTCTTTCGGTGAGTTAGTATGGCCCGCTTTTAGCCCGTTACCGTTTGGTATTCTGTCACTTTTCTACTACTGACAACAGACGAGTGACAGTGGTGGTTCTCCTTGTAAGGTGCTTTTGACTGTTGACCGCGCCAGCTTGTGGCACTGCTTATTCATGAAGGACGTGTCAACTAAATTTCTTTTCATCATGCAATCTTTACCATGACTCCCGAGGCCTTGTTAGGGTCTACAGGAAGCTATCTCCTGAGTTTCCAACGACTAGTGGGGTTCGCCAGGGTTGTCCCCTCTCTCATTTCCTCTTCAAATTTCTTACAGAAATTATCATGACTGACTTTGTTCTTTCAGACTCTACCGGAGTGCAAATTCTGCCAGGTGACCGAGTGACAAACCTGGAGTGTGCGGACGACATACCTCTTCTTGGGTCCAATCTAGTGGCTATGCAAAGACTGCTGAATAGACTGATGCGTAGTCTGCACACTTCGGCATGTGCTTCGCACCATCGAAGTGCAAAGTACTGCTGCAGGACTAGACTGACACACCTCCGGTTCTAGCTGTCACCTCTGGTGGTCAAATTACTGAGGAAGTTACTTCGCATATTATCAAAGGCCGCGTTACTCTCCAGAAATTCAACCATCCATGGAGATGGTGGGATAACAGCCTCTCAGTGAAAGATAGAGTGCATAACGTTACGATAAGGCCGATTTTACTGGCCAGTTCGCTACGAAGACATTAAACACTTGGCCGTGTTTGACCACCGGTGCTTGCGGAGTATTGCTCACGTCTGGTGAGAACACCGGGTGAACAATACAGTGGTCCGCCAGCTGGTTTTTGGCAAATGGCCTGATGCCTCATTCAAGTGTTTGCTAAATCTTGTTCGCTTACGTTGGCTACGCCATGTACTCCGTATGCCCGTTGACCGGCTTCCTCGGCGTACATTATACGCCGTGGCTGCACCAAATTGGGCGAAACCGCGGGGTGGCCAATCCATGACTTAGCATATAAGTTTGAAGAAGTTAGGAGACTCGGTCAAGCTGGTGCTTGCGGTCTTCGTGTATGGAGGTCTCGAGATGGTCCACACCAGTGGTTGAAGACCGTATCTGACGTGGCGTAGTCTGGCGTTTCTGCATTCGGTCTCTTGCCTCTGGTTGCTAGTTTTTGTTCCATTCTGATTAGTTTAACGCTTTCTTCTTGCTTCCATTTTCTTTACATTCTCTTTGCTTTCAACCCCACTATCTTGCCGTTGTTATTTATTGTTCTTGCGTTACGAATCGTTGCAACTGGACCCACCGCACTTCGGTGCTCGGATCACAGTTGATCCACTGACTGAATTGACACAGTAGTGTATGCCTTTATTACCACCACTAAGGAAACTAAGTGTTTTACTGTTACTATCCTGTTTTCTCAACCAATTTGTCTTACATTTCTCGTTATTTAAAACGTATTGCGCATTCGCGGTCATTGGTGACCTTTGACTCCCAGATAAAATGTGCGTATATTTAACACTCTTTACGGACTAGCAGAAATTCGTTTTTGATGCAGCTATTCCTTCACAAGAACTGATGTGATTATTCACACTAACTTCCACGAATTTTGCTTTCTAAACATCACTACACCTAAAGTTGCATTTTGGGTATCATCATCAGTACAGCGCAATGTTTCCCTGCTAATGTAGCCCTAGCTAGCGGTTAATTCGGTAAAAATAAGGCGCCCAACCGAGGGAACGAGCCAACACCCCCCTTTGCACTGACATCATTAGATACTTGTAATGTTGGCCAACATTATCTTATGTTATGATGCACCGCTCTCATTGCCCGCTAACCAGGATTGGAACTGCTTCGGACCGCCATCGAAAAGGCCCATTACACGGGAAAAATCAAGATAGCAATGGACTGTGCTGCATCAGAGTTTCATAAGCAGGGCAAATACGATCTGGATTTCAAAAATGTTAAATCTGCACCAGATTCTTGGATTTCTTCCGAGTCATTGGCTGACGTCTACAAAAAGATGATGAGCACTTATCCAATAGTCAGCATCGAAGATCCATTTGATCAGGATGACTGGGCTGCCTGGAGCAAGTTGACCGGATCGTGTGATATTCAGGTATGTGGCACCCTAATGTGATTCACTCACGTGTTCCACTCCCTCTGGTTTTCTTTTCGTATTCCAATCGTCTTGTTCTTACTTTTCCATATCAGCTTCTAATATGCTTGGCCGTATGTATTTCCCCAGTTCTACGCTTAACACATCCCACATTCAGAGAACGCATTCCTTCTAGAAACTGCCTGCTCCGTTGCTCCCTATATTCTTTGTTCTATAATAATACGGATGATTATAATATGTATATTTCTCATCAAGTCAGAAGCTGCGCCTGTATTTAGCACGGGTCATCGTTTTTCGTGGGCACTATGCAGTTGTGTGATTGTCTTTTTGTGTAGATGGCAATCTTTGTGTAGTGCCTTAAAGTGAAGGGCATTAGTGCGCTCTAAAGGTATTGCAAACGTTAGAGATTACTTATAGTGAGTGAAATCTCTGCTTCACCCATTAGTTGTCATATGGGCCCTCATGAAATCATTCTTTAGGCGATCTCATGAGAGCAAAATAATCTTGTTCGGCTCGAAGCAGCTTCCGAGTTCATTACGAAATGATGTCATTACCCTCTTACACGATGTGATTATGCTTAAGATGCGATTACTCATATTTGGTCGCACACACGTCGCTATGTATATGCATCCGATATTGGATGGCGACGCTTGGCTAAGGAAACAGCCGCTCGCCGGTGAACGCATGTCACTGTCACCCGAATCAGTTTGGGTTATGGATGGACCAACATGTCAAGATAACGGATGAATTTGACATCGGAACAATTCAACTCGTTACCTGTATGGACTAACTTGCTTCGAAAATGATATGGATGGAGTTGCTGGCTCCACCCCCTATAAGTTCTTGGTAACATTTTTGCCTAAGACACCTTTGGCAAATGACCTCTGTAGGTTTTTTGCAGCTGCTCTGTCAGATCTCATGTTGCCACAAATTATGCTGCAGTAAATGTATTCTGGCCTGGGCGGCTGATGTTTCGTACGCTTTCAAACTTGGTTCACACCGATCCGTACTGTTGTCATATCCCTCGACCCATATCGCCCTGTTGTTCACATGCTCGCTGTGTTCAAGCGATAATTGATACGTGTATTAACAATAAATGCAATCGAAAAACTCGCCTACTGAGTTGGTGGTTCCATTCTCCCTACAGATCGTTGGCGATGACTTGACGGTAACGAATCCCATTCGCGTACAGCAAGCCATCGACAAAAAAGCCTGCAATTGTCTTCTGCTCAAAGTTAACCAGATTGGATCGGTGACGGAATCTATTCAGGCTTGCAAACTTGCACAGTCCGCTGGTTGGGGTGTGATGGTTTCACACAGATCTGGAGAGACAGAGGACAACTTCATTGCCGATCTAGTTGTTGGTCTTTGCACTGGACAGGTCAGTCAGTTGCATCGTGTTACATCACCTGCATCCCTTGTCACGAGTGGTCCTTCTCTTTTTGTATTATGTTCCTCATATCACCTGATTATTTAGAGCAGTTTTATTCTGCTGATTCGACCTGTGTATCTTCACTGATAGAAATGTGGTAAAAATATTATCTCTTATTTTCTTATCTTCCCTGTTCATTTGAGCAAATTATTCTTGTTTTTGCAGTTCACTAGCCGTAGCGCTCTTTTTAGGTACAGCTCTCATTATGATGATTATGCACGACTCCACAAGTTGCTGAGTGTGGTCTCCCAGACTGTTAGTTGGGGTCGAAGAGGACTGGTTGCCGCAACCTCCTGAGTTAGTCACCTGTTTGGTTGGTTCGCATAGATTTGAATATCGGATTTGCCGTTGACTGTTGCATTTTGCCTTTTGTATTACGTATAGTTCTAAATAAGGTGCTTTTTTTCCGGCTATTTTAGTGCTTCGTTCTTTTTTTATAGATCAAAACAGGAGCACCCTGTCGCTCGGAACGTTTGGCAAAGTACAACCAATTGTTGCGCATTGAAGAAGATCTGGGCGCTGCAGCTAAATATGCTGGAGAACACTTTCGCCGACCTTTAAAATGACGGAGAACGATGTAGCCTTCACCTATGTCCAATTTAGTCCTCCGACGTTACATGTCTCTGTTAGTTGTTCCTAACCAATTATAAATACTTGCTCACTGTGTGCTAAAATATTTTCTCTTGGACAGCAGTCATTATCGGCCAATCTATGCTCCACTAAGATTGCTGGTCTATCCCACACAGCTCCACTATATTTGGGACATTCATGCCTGCCTCTTTACAGATCTTCGAACGTTTACATCTACCAAAAGGGTTCGTATGTCCGAGTGGCACACTGGTCTTACCGTGCGATTGCCGGTGCGCAAGGTGACATGTCCCAGTAATCTCAGGGTCATTAAAGAGATATTTTTTGCATTCAGACGCAAGCTAAAGGTCACTGAGACGCCGGAGCACTTTGCACAACCTTTCGTCATGCTCTTGTTAGTGGCCGAAAAGACACCAGTTAGGCAACCTGCACCTCAATACCTACCAGGGCCTGAGTCACGAATTTTTACCCGGCAGTGGGCACCGAACTCAGACCCTTTATACTGAAATAGGCCATCTGGAGCAAGCAAGGCAGTTACATGCTTGAAATCTTTGGCCAATATCATGTAAAAATTGCGCTTTTCAAATCTACTTTTTAAAAAGCGATCGGATCAGCTAACCGTAGAGTGAGTTCCTCGTTGGATGACAAAACGCATCGCTCTACGAGTATCCGCTTATTTAGCCCCTGTAAATCACTGCATATCCTGACAAATAACAGTGGATGCACCAGCTCGCAGCAGTCGATGAGTTTAATCAAATCATTTGTTGGCATCTCTCGTAGTGCCGCTGAAACAGCTTGACGTCTTGCTAGATGAAGAGTGACGTTGACCAACATCAACAGGTTCGCATCTTGCTTCAACTGAATGTGGTGCACATCACATGAAATATGTTTAGTAGAGTACTATTAAAACTGCTATAATAACGTTCATTCCGATATGATGTGTTGACGGAAGAGACAAGCATGTAGTCAAAAGCTGGTACCAGTACAAAGCCACCATGGCATTCCTTCTAAGCATGGGTCTTTTCTTTTATGAAGAAATGTACACTGCAACATCTGCAGCTACCGAGTGCACAATAATGAATCCTAGTGTGGTTAAGGTATTTCCACTGTAACTCCAAAATGAATACGAGGTGGGCTTTAAGGTATGCTGAAATAGGTGGCGTTCGTAAAGTTGGAAAAACTAATTAATTGGAGAAGCAGAATCTAGCTCCATTACAAAAGTGAAACGGCACCCTCAATAGTAAGAAATGACAAAGTGCAAATGTCAGCGAAAGGAAACTTTAGTTCAACAACCGATACTTAGAATTCTTGAAGGATTTATGGCCGAACTAGAGAATGGCCCACTGAGTGAAATCATTGTGCGGATGCCACTTTATGAACGCTATCTCGATGACGTGGTGTGCATAGTTGACTGCTTCGTAGACCGGGTTGAACTATCACGGGAATTCAATCAGGCTCACAGGAATATTTGGCTTAGCACGCGATTCGAGTCAAACGAAGGACTGGCTTTCTTGGATGTTCAAATGTCACGTCGACCGGATGGATCGCTGCAGCGTAGAATCCACAAGAAAATGATATGGACGGATCAGTGTACACACTTTGATAGCTTTGTGCCAGTTCGACGAACAGAACCTTGTCCGGTGTTTTGTCGGAAGAGTGATGAAAATATGTTCGGATGACACAATTGAAGCAGTGCGTGCTATAATACGAAAGTGTTTATTAATAACAGTGAACTGAGTGCGATCGGCAAAGCACCCACGGTAGGATAGGAGCCTACCTACATATCGCTGGCATTCAAAGGAGTTAATATTTCCGAATACCTTAGCAAACCATTACGAGCGGCCGTCATTAACATCCATGGGGCCGCACAATTACACATTATCTTCACTTCCAGCTGGAGGATAAGCCGTCTGTGAATGTCACCACTTTTATGTTTATCCATTTACCTGTTTCTATGGGATAAGTTACATAAGTGTCACCAGGATACATTTGTCTGAACGCGTACGCGAGCATCATCCAGTGTGGCTAACTCGAGGATTGAACAAGACGTGCACCACTGTAGTTGTCACGCACCTATCCCACATTAATCATCCTGTCGTTATCAACGAAGCCGATCTATCGTGTGAGGGGCGTCCATTCCAGCTTATCAGATGCCGAATGCTTGCATTGTCGGAAGCGATCACGATTAGTTTCAACAGCCTCCGTTGTGTGTGCATAAACAAGTTGACAAAGCCTTGGCTTTACCATGGCCAGTCGCCGCGTGTACGACGCACACAAATTATGAGCATTTTGAGACTTTTATTTTCTATCTACTCAATCCACTTTTTCTTACCTTAATTATTTAACTCTGTAGTATTTAGACTGATGATGAATCACCGAAAACGAGCTTTTTAGCTAACTCGTCTTTTCATGATTTCTTGAGATGCTGGCATTAGCGGTGTTAGAATGGGCTTCAGGTTTAGCATCGTTGTTGGTGAGTGCGATGGCCTGCCACCGACAACATCGGGCGTAGTGCCCAATTTTGCCACCTTTTTCGCACTCTAAGCTGTGTGTGGGACAATGGCTTAGTGAGATGTACTTCTACAGTGATACCAAGATGGCTTATTCGCTGGTAGTTGTGGGAAATATTACACCTTTGCTACCTCAGCCGACTTGGTCGAACGGAAGTGTTTCGATTGCTGTGAAGTTTCAATTTTCATTGGCCAACCCATAAGCTCTACCCTACTTTTATATGCAAGCCACTTCTTGCAACAGCGCCTACCGTATATGATTGTCAGAAATTCCGGAAATCAGTTTCTGAGTGACCATGCATACTTCTATTCTTTTCTTGGGAATAGTCGAAAAGTCACAGTCGTACTGCACGACTCAACGGGCATTGAAATCGTTCAAGGATTTGTCAGTTTTCTGATGCATTTCACACAACCAATGGGAAGGGGGTTAATATATTCAGACCAGCTAGTGAAAAGTGAGCATAATACATTGGTTTCACCCGGTCATGGACAGCATTACCGGTAATGGCTCTGGGAGACGTGCATACCACAGCTACTTTAACCCTTCTTCGCTCAAGAATAAGGGACCAGCGATGCGCTGAAGTTCGCGGAGCAACGCCGACGGCTTGCGATCTCCAAGCTTGAGACCACTGAGCTGCTCAAATCGAGTTCGCGCGCTGGGCCGTAACTCTATTAAAATCGCTTGCTTCATCGTTTCATAATTTGCCTCATTCGATGGGTAGAGTAGAATGTCCTCAATCAGCGTCACTACCGACAAAGGAAGGCGTGAGACGAGCTGATTGTACCTCGGACGGTCCACCGTAATGCTCTTATTTTCTAGTTCGCTCTTGAATATCTTACACCAAACTTCTGGACTGTGTTCCATGAAACTTGGAACAGCCAAATTAAGCATGTTTACGCTGTGAAACGACTCAGTCGCCAATCTCGAAGTCAATAAATAAATAACAATCAAACAATAACAATAACTAAATAACAAAGCATAAACGGCACAGCGCACTCCGACTTCCGATGAACCCCCATTTACATGAACGCACGCTCATTTGTACTCGGCACGATTTTGCCTTACAAACCTTGGTTCAACATTCCTTTTCGATTTCGAAGGCTTTCTATATTCAGCCTTCTAGGGGGAGCTCTGTAGCGCCCTAAAAGATAACTGCTACCTTTCATGTACAATTTAATTGTTGACCGATTGTACATTACTCCTTCTTGTTTTAATTTTACAACCGGCTCGACACACAACTGCCCTGCAAGTTCCCGCGCTCACGTGTACGCTCTCGCCTCGCTTCATCCGTCCGCTTCTTGTTGTAGCCCATCGAATACAATCCGAGTATGTCACGTTCTGCACGGAAGCGCAACATTTTCCCCACAAGTTCTCAGTCAGATAATGTCAAACCCGGCGAAGAAGCATGTTGGTATCACCGCCAATACGGTGGAAGAGCTAGACGTTGTTGGGCTCCCTGCATTAGGCACGACCCATCTGCTTCAGGGAAATCGAATAGCCCGCGTACTAGCACGACCAACGTATCCGCCAATGACCAAACAAACCGACTGTTTTACGTTAAGGATCGACGCTCTTCCATCACATACCTCGTCGATACTGGAGCGGAAGTCAGTGTCATCCCAGCGACCGCTAACGACAAGCACTCAGTGCCTACGTACAATTTGCGTGCGATCAACGGTTCTCCCATAGCTTCATTCGGTCAGCGCATGATGAACCTGGACTTCAATCTTCGCCGAGATTTTCAGTGGGTCTTCATGGTTGCGTCCGTACCCTTCGCAATTATCGGCATCGATTTTCTTCGACATTTTGGGTTGCTAGTTGATGCTGGTCGCCACAGACTTTTAGACGGCCGTACTAAACTAGGGGTTGAAGGCGTTCTTACGGACGCCCCGATAATCAGTCCCGTTTTTCGAATCGCTGATGTACCATCACATTATGCGAACCTACTGTCTGAATACCCGCGACTGGTACGAGCAGCTACAGAGGTTCCGCCAGTCACGACAGAGGTCGCTCATCGCATGGTCACGCGTGCTCAGCGAGTTGGTGCACGACCAAGGCGGCTTGCTCTTGACAACCTACGTGCATCACGAGCTGCATTCGACCAAATGCCTCAGTTCGGTATCGTCAGACCGTCCAACAGCACATGGGCGTCGCCTCTGCACATGGTCCCGAAGAAGGTCATGGGCGACTGGCGTCCTTGCGGCGCCTATCGATCCTTGAATACAGTTACCACGCCTGATCGCTATCCGATCCCACACATAGTGGATCTCACCGCCAGTCTGGCGGGTAAAAATAACTTCAGCAAAAGCGACTTGGTACGCGCATACGACCAAATTCCGGTAGCTGAAGCGGACATCGCTAAGACTGCCATGACGACTCCATTTGGTTTGTTCGAGTTTCTGCGCATGCCATTTGGCCTAAAGAACGCCGCGCAAACTTTTCAGCGCTGCATCGACCACGATTTTCGTGGCTTAGACTTCGCTTACGCGTATCGTGATGACATTTTAATTGCAAGCTCTTCACGAGAAGAGCACATGCACCTCGTACGAACACTTTTTGATCGTTTATCTCAACA